ATACCAGAAAATTATAACAAAAGTGTAACATGCCTCTTCAACACGAAACGTTCTTTACACATACATATAGATGTATCTTTTGATAATTTGGTACATGGTGTTACACGTTAAGGAATTGATCACACAAATATAATTCATATAATACGTCTTAATGCTTAGAAAACTAAAGTTATTAGAGAATTTAACGAAAACAATAGTTTCTTTATTTAAAGTTTGATTTGTAGCTTGTTCAGCAAGTTGACTTTTATTGATTAAATATATCTTAACACGTGCCTGGAGCAAATGGTTAGTGAGAATTTAAAACGTTTGTGGCGTTTGATGTGCATATTGTGCTCATTTTTTCAAGATCATTAATGTCTAAATTTGTTCCGTTCTTATCATTTATTTCTATTATTAGGTTTGCAACAATTTAAAATGACAAATTATCGCCTATACATATATATCATTTGTTTATGGAAAAGGTCCTTGAAATTTGTTAGTCTTATAATGTGATTTACTTTTATTGAATTGGAACTAAATGGTTACTTTGAGGGATCACTTTGTTTCCAGAGTTTAGTTAATTGTGTTAAAATGACACAATTGCATATATAGTAGCATCAGAATATAGTAATGTCTAAAAAAGAATATGCGATCAAGTTTGAGACTGCAACAAGGGCACTACCTAAAGTGTTTGCATTGCCAGAAACCAATAAATGAACGCTTGCATCTCTAATTAATAAGTTATATTTGATTATTTATACTTTTCAATTGTAACGTTATAAAAATAGTACAAAAATGTATATATTTGGCTATTTAGTGATATTTGTTTATAATTCTCGAAAGCAATGCCGAAAACACATGTCAATACCTGATACAATAAATTAAAGCTTACTAAATTGTGTCAGCATGTGATTTTAAAGGATGCAATAGATAAAATAACACTCAATCAATATTTTATTTTGGGGGAGGAGGTGGTTGGGGGCGGGGGTAATTTCTTATTCATGGCCACGGGTATGTTACTTCTACTTTGCAAAACATGCAGAACTAGTACTGTTATATGAGTATTTTCTTTTCTTTTCTTATTCATACTTTTTTAATTTCTCTTCTAAAATGGTTTTAAATCCAGTAAATTTGCACCGTTAAATTGATCTAAAGTTTCTTTAAATAGGTTGGTAATGCAAATATGGAAAACATTAAACATATATCTAGGCTACAGTCCTAGTGACTTTGTCAGGCTACACTACCATACTGTTCGGGGGAAGCAATTGCTACAATTTATATTCTGACTAGGCAAAGGATCAGGCCATTTAGAAACAACTATAGTAAATATCGCAGCAATTTTATAAAAAGTCGAAAATTAGTTTTAGTATTTGTAATGTTACGCTCAAAGTCATATTTTGTTCAAACTGACGATTTCTTTGTACTTATTTTGAATTTAAATGTGTTTGTTCACGTCTAGTTAAATGGCACCGATCTAGAAAATGTATATTATTATCGATATTTGTTGTTGAGGGGATATGCAAGAAGAAAACGGCGACGCAAGAAGGCGATTTATCGCTTCCAAATATTGAATTTTAATACCTATTTGATTTGTGATTCTAATATACATCTGACATTAATTTTGACACACGAGCCACGAAAATATTGTTATGCTTTGCTTTTTCCGAAGAGCTAGTGTGCATTGTTTTTGCTTTGTCTTGTTTTTCTTTATGCCACTAAAAACCTCAACCTGACAATCATTTCATTTACCACCTGATTTTATAAAGACATACCACACACAATAGTTAGACACGGAAGAAATTATTTGCGGTCCATAATATCAAGACAGCTTGATAAAGATTCCATTCTTTTTTATTGCCAATAATCTATTGCTCATTAATACATGAACATGGTTTGTTGTTCTGAACATTAAACATAAAAAAGAATACCTTATTGTAAACATAAGAATCAATCAGATGAAGGTATGAGGAAAACGTTGCATGTGGTTACTATATTTAGACTGTTTTAAGCATATTTCCTATAAGTAAGTGATGAAAGTTAGGGGGAACAAACGTATATAACAATAACAGCAAAGAAGAGGTGTGTCATTCTTAAAGATTAAAATATCACATGTCACTTCTGAAGACATTTTATTTCTTTATTTTTCTCCGCAAGTTATGGTCGTGATCATGTTGACGTTAATTCAAATATTTATTTTTTTAATTTGTGGTTTAAACACATTCATTTCACAACCGTGAAAAAAGTTTTACTCATAAATTTAATTTTAATTGCTTCAGATAATACTCCAATAAAATACCGTTAATACAAAAAAGACAAAAACAAACGTTATGATACACATTAAACGTACATTTTGTATATGTAATAAAGATCTGAAAAGTATTCTTAAAAATAACAGTATCTGTACAGCTTAAAATAAAACTGATATTATTGTGCACTTTTTCCAGTTCTCTTAACGTTATAAAACATTTGTTGAAATGTTTTAAGGAACCATTTTTGAATTTAAGAAAATGCCTATAAATTTAACGTGTTTCTATAGTTTAAAAGCTTTGGGCACATTTGTTGATATACTTTTTTGTTGATCAAAACATTTTAAGAGAAAGAAATTTGGGTATTTGTTACTTATTTTGAGGTCATTTTAAGGGCATATAACTTATACGTATGTTTATAAAATCTTGTTTTTTTTTTACTTCGATTATGTTTTTCCTTTTATTCTTGATCACGATATATTATAACAAGTAATTCCATATCTTATTTCTGTTATTTTTTTACAGTTTGAACAAAGAGACTTAAGTCTTTAAATTCAAATTAAAATGAAAATATCAGAGATGGTACACAAACTTTAACATAATTTCTAAGTAAAAAAGGGACATTATTCTGTCAAGATGCTTCATAGAATTACCCCCTCTGGTCTACGGGTAAGGGCAATGGAATTTGAAAATATTTGAGGTGGTACACAAACTTGAGGTGGTACCCAAACTTTAATGTGGTATGCAACTTTTTTTTATTTCTTGGCTTCTATTTGCAGGGAAGACTTCACACTCGACTTATCGCAGCACCCATTGCGGCGTTGGGGGTTGAACTGTTTGTCTGAGTTATCATTATACATCGGTTCATCTGCGCAAGAAAATAACGACTGCTTAGGACATGTCTCGAATTTTTGACATCTCGATTCCAAACGTGTGCCTTACGAATGCATGTGCAACCTTTTTCGTAAGTTTATTACAGTATTTTCAGAACTTTCAAAATCACCTAAAGAGAAAACAATATATTTTGGGGCTGTTATCCATGGTTGGTCCTTACTCATGGTATACGTAAGCGTACACCTTAAACAACGTCATTTCTTTTCTGACACAATCCGGGAAAATTGTCACTAAAAGAAAAAAATCATTATGTACATAATGCTGTTTTAACTCCCCTTTACGTATAACCTATGCACAATTAAAATGCGTGATTGGACAAACGTATTGACGTGACGTCATTGATTGCACTTGATAAAATATAAAACAATCAAAGATGACTTTATCCACTTTGACATTTAAATATCTTATTAATATTTTACTAGTGTTTACAATTAATTATTTGAACATATTGTGAAACAAAATAAACTTTTTCAGTGTACATTACAGAATATATAAATCATTACGATTTTAATTAAAACTATAAATAAACAGAACTATATGTTCGTACGTTCACATCACAAAAACAAGGAAATTTCTCCCATCTTATATCACCGCTTAAGAAACCAATAAAATATTTTTTTCTTTAAAAGGCACTTTAGATTTCTGCACAAAGTTGTTTGTAAACATAAACAAATAAATCTTGATCCCTAAACTTCAGTTCACACAAACAATGCGACGATTTAGGCGCCATGATCTGAATATTTCATTTTAAAAAATCAAACATATTTTAGACAGAATGTAAATTCATAAAGTGATTAATTGAAAATAAAGGACTCAAAAGAAACTCTATTATGCGGATATGTGAACTTTAACCTATTAAATGATCAATTTTGCAATTAAAACGTTGTCTGATACTCATCTAATGAATAATTAATTCAATACCAGGAAATTGATTGGTTTACACCTTTAATTTACTTGCGCAATCACATAAGCAATTTTTTACACTAAAAGAAAAAAAACTTTTTTCAAAAAACAATTTTCATTTAACGAAACACATTTTTACAAAATATAATTGTCAATAATATTTTAGAAGATCCCAAGGCATAGTTCAAAAATTTATCAGAATAAACAATAGATAAATATAGTGTGATATAGCAAGTTTGTTTCACATCATACCAAAATGTCAGGACATTTTCCTCATAACCTCACAAGAAACAAAAAAAAACAACAATAACAATGAAGCAGTCGTATGAAAATCATTCTGTGGAAGCAACTTTCTTTAATATTTCTCCAACCAGCTAATTCCAACTATATAGGTAATCAACATATAGACCAATCATAAACTAGCACTGACTTTCAATAATGGGAATAATTTATCTTTGCCGTGCATAGACAAAAGTTCAATCATGAAATATTTTACCATTAACCACGTGTGAATACGATTCTTCTTTTGAAAAGTCACAAATAATGACTTATCAATACCCTTCATGTCATTGACTCATTCAAGTTGTGTTTATATGTATTTCCTAAACTAAAAGCTCTAAACTTAAAACCTTCCCTTTAAATTTCCAAATAAATACATTCTGACTTAAATGATTTATTAAGATGAAAGAAATCATTATAACAATGACCTAAGTTTTCTATGAGAACTTCGGTGACCAATTTTTTATAGATCAAAATAAAGGTTTTCTCAACATGACAAGATACTACTAATGGTTTCACAGGTGCAAGGTTAAGCTAACCGGTCATGCTTAGCATATGATTGATAACTTTTAACCATTTGTTATCTATTCCTGTACGTATTTAACGAATGTATACAATTAAATTTTCAAAATCCGCCTACGGCTAAATTTCGATACAAATTTGTATATAAGTATAAGATCATCATTATTTCCCAGTCATAAAGCGTCATTGCAAACGTGAGCGTTCACCAGACGAGTCACTTTGCATAAAAATTTGGGTTTCTAAAACATTCTTGACCCTGCGGTTTTGATAAGGTGCACGTTTCGATATATAAACTCTAAACCGGCGCATATGCACAAATAACAACTGACACTGCTCGCGAGCTATAACATTAAATCAACAATACAAGTGCTAAAATATCATAACCGAAAAAGAACTTAAAACTAGTTAAACCGAACTTGAGTGTTAGAAGTTTATTAGATTTATATAGCTCTTTGATATAAATTGAAAAGAAATGGAGTATATTGCTCTTATTGTAAGTATCTTTGTAACCGCTGTTTTGATTGGCAACGTTGAATCACAGACTTGTCGGGCAGACTGTACACCTCCGGATTGCTCCTGTTCTAGGATGAGTTACCCTATGGATAGACAAGATATTCCGCAGATTGTCTACTTCGGCTTCGACGATGCCGTCAACGTTGTCATGTCCTCTTTGTACAATCGCTTGTTCACAAAGAAAAGAAAGAATCCTAACGGTTGTACTATGAAAATGACGCTTTTCGTATCACATCAATACACGGACTATAAGAGAGTTAAAAATTTCTACAAGAATGGAATGGAAATAGCTGTTCATAGTGTCACACATACAGCAATTGACAATGATGAAATATTAAGAAAAGAAGCAAAAGCGCAAAAGGAAAACTTAATGAAATTGGCTGGCGTGCGCGCAGAAGACATTGTTGGTTGGCGTTCACCGTTTCTTAAAACTGCAGGTGACAATCAGCCTTCAATACTTAAAGAACTTGGATACGAATATGATATATCTTTAACATATTCAAGGACGAGTAGAGATATCCCTAAACCTTGGCCATTCACAATGGACAGAGCCTGGCCGTACAAATGTGGCATCAGACCATGTCCAACCGGTAGAAGTGCTCGGGTAAAGAACTTTTGGGCAGTTCCCGTCGTTAGTTTAATGGACCATAAAAACCAATATCCATGTTCTTTTGTTGACGGATGCGCAGTAAGGGCATCAAATGAGCAAGAAGCATTTGACTTTTTATGGAAAAACTTTATGTCTTATTACAACACAACTCGCACACCATTTGGTTTGAACATGCATGCAGCTTGGTTCTACACGCGCTATAATCTCAAGGCAATGATGAGATTTCTAGATGAACTTCAGAAATTAGACGATGTTTACGTAGTGACAGTCAAACAGATGCTTGATTGGATGAAAAATCCTACCCCGGTCTCAAATATCCGCAACTTCGAACCTTGGGGCTGTCCAGAATCCAAAAAATCTTCGGGTAAGTAATATCTTTTATCATGCTGTTTCATAAACTTTAATAATAAAAAGATTTATCTTAAAACGTTTTTCAGATTTATATGTTAAGAGTTACATTGTCTGTTATAAGACATAGATTATAGATGAGATAAAAAAATAATGTAAAATTTTGAGGGCGAATCCAATTAAAAGTTATAAAATGGATTCGAACAACTTGCTGCAAGCAAAACACGATAGAAACATTAGTTTTTCTACACTTTTCCTTTTCATGTCCTTTCCGAGAATATTCATGAATAGGACTCGTATAGAAGTCACAATAAAATATTTCTCAATTTCATCTATTTTATTTAAGACATTTCGAACAGCATATTTACATTGTACATTATTACTGTTCCTCCTCGCATGTAAATGGTATATTTTATAAAGGCCATGTCTTTAATGTTTCATCGGTTTTCAAAATTGATTGGCGACTTTATTTTTATACGTCATTTATTTTGATTCAATTAAAACAAAGAAGTAAAAAAGCCATAGTCCATAATACTGAAATATTCAAATAATAGACAAACAATGAATTATAAAATATAGATGAGTCTCGTGATATATTTTGTATATATCATTTGTGACAACATTGCCATCTTTGTAAATGAGCAAACGTGTTAAGTACGGATCGACTTAAAACTATGATGAATAAAGATATGCCCCTTATGAAAAATATTGAAATAAAACTGGTATAAATTCGTTTATTAGCGTTTGTTCCTTTTTGTTTTCATAAAAGAATAAGTATATTTAGAATTTTTAGAATAAAAAACTAAATTCAGAAACAATTGATTGCATCATAACAATATTACTTTTTCCTTAGTGTATTTTAAGATTTTAAATAAGTGTGAAAATAATTTGAAAAAGTAATACTTTGGCTTAAACATTAAATCTTTCAAATACATATAAGGGCATAATATGTCCAATGCGAAAATAATGATAATTTAACAGTAAGAAAAGCTTAGAAAATATAACTTTTATAAATGTAAAGGTGATAGTTTTTGTCATTAATTCTTACGTAAAACATTAAACAATTTATTAAATGTCAAGCGTACATAAAAACAACCACACTATCGTGCAATTAGTTGTCGACAATGACATTGTGCGTGTTTGATATTTCTTAGAAAGAATTGTTAAAGCATATCATTGACAAGATGAGAAAGTCAATGGGGAAATTTGAATATAAGATCATCAAACGAAATGGCCAATAAAATGAATATATTCTACAGGTTTCATGTAAATAATATTGTAAAGAATTGTTATGTGAACGAATTCTACGAAATATTTAAAACAGAAAGAAAAGACTTCACATTCGTTTCAAGTGACACATACGCAGAGTGGTATCGCAAATTCATTAAATAACAAAAGTGCGTGTATTTAGTTCTTTTTATGTAAAATGCAATTATAACAAAGCTTATCAAGGCCAATTTTGGATGTTTTAATATAAGTTAACCTTCAAGAGATGCATGTAACATTAAAACATGCACCACAAAATAACCACATTCTTAAACTTTATCAGAATTTGAATTAATGCCATATACAGTGACAGAATGCTAAAATCCCACAACTTTTCGAGCTTAATTTTCCAAAACTTTTTACAAAGGCTGATTTGTATATATTCTATTTACGCACGACTGCAACAAAAAAACCACCATAAATCAGCGAATACAATATTTTCTCAAGTTAACACATGTTTAGCAATAATGTCTTTGTTTACAGTCAAATTTATGTGCACTAATCATCTGTCAACCACAATCAAGAAAAAAATACAAACACAACATCATCCAATATAATTGATTGTTAGCAAGGACAAAATGCATGTCGTAAATTTGAAATTAGGCAGGAAAAAATTAGTTTAAAAAACTGCACTGAATGGCCATTTTTATAGGGACGCATATTAAGTAAATCATGAAAAATATTCAAACTAAAGACTTGCATATATGTCAATTTCAAGCATGTGCACAATAGATATCTGTTGCTGCGGTCAAAATATAGACGAAAATTATTCCGATTTCCGCGACCTTTGCAACCATATTGTGACAAGTCGCCACAAGTCTTGTTTAACAAACCAGTACAGTATTAATTAACTCTACACATCGCATTTAATTAAACCACAGCTGAATTGACATTTTGCTATTGTCAGCTAATGTTACATTTTGTTGACTGAAAGTGATGATTTATGATTTTCTTATGAAGTTTATATAAAGATATATTATTCTTGAATCAAATAAATTCATTTTTGTTTATAATTATATGCCAAATATAGACGGCATAAATTATATTACATGTTTATATAGGAAATAAGAATAAATTTACTACATAACTTTAGACTTTTTGAGTCATTTTTAAGCAAAATCTGGTAACAACGGAAATGATCGAAATGTATTTTGAATATAATTTGAGCGAAAGTATAGCTTCTCTGACGAAAAAAATAATTAAGCAAATTTTTTTATGTCTGTGAAATATTGTGGCAGACAAGGAACACTTTTGTGCGTCGTGTTGCCGCTAGCGACAGGACGACAAAGCGCCAAACGGTGCGTTGTCGGACTTTCGTCTTGTCGCTAACGATGCACGCCAAACGGCGCGTACGTTGTCGTGCGGCGTGTTGTCGCGATGTCACATTATCTCTCAGCTCAAACCGAAGAATTGGCTATTGTTCCAAGCAACAGGGCGACAACGCGCCGCACGACAACGCGCCGTTTGGCGTGCTTCGCTAGAGACAGGACGACAAGACAACAGTGCGACAACGTGCCGTTTGGCGCGTTTCGCTAGCGACAAGACGACAAGACGAAAAGGCGATAGCGATATAGGTTGTGTTGTCGCTATCGACAACGCAACGCACAAAATGTACCAAATCAGCCACAATAGTGAAAACAGTAGTAATAAATAAAGAACAAAATCAGAACAGTTTTTGAAAAATGTTTAATGATACATTTCAGATTTTAACGCATATTTTGTACGTGTAGAGAAAGTATACATGTAATAAGATTAAACATAATGTAACGGATCTGGACTGATAAAGGCAGACAAAAATAGATTGACTTATTTTCGTATTTGTTGACATGATATTTGAATATTAAACATATTGTCACCGTATTTGTATAAATATCTCCATTATTTTTGACGGGCGCCAATACGTTTACGTATTTAACGACTATATGTTACCATATTTTATCAGATGCTTTATGCATAAATTATATAACGTAAATAAAAGTAACTAAATAATTGCCTCTACTCACTTCACAGACGAGCATACAGTTAACATTTAAGATTTGATAATTTAATTTCTGACGTTTTATTTATCATAATAAAACAGGAATTTATGTTAATTTGCTAAATTTCAAATAAAAAAAAGGATTAAATTCAACATAAATACGGCAGTCTGTATGTATTCCTAGTATGAATATATCGGGAAAAAAAATATGAATTCTCATAACGAATTGTACAAACAAGAAATCTAAAAAAGCAAGACCTTGAAAATATAAAAATCGTGTTAATTAATGGAAATTCAGTCTTCGTATAATACAATTATAAAAATAAACAACATTTATACTATCTTAATAAAAATATGTAGTAACCATAGGCAACCGAATCGAATTTTAACACCTGATTTGCAATATAACCGAGACGCTAAATTCTTATCAACTTCCAAATTCTGTATGCTGACTAGAAGCTTTATATTATCTGATATACATTCGATACACTTTAATATCTTTATAAATAGAGTCCGCAAAGACTTAACAAAATAAATTACAAGAATAATTTTACAAACAGAACAGAACAGAACAGAACATAATTTTATTTAGGATTTGTACATAGTACATCATCACTGCAATATAAATACACACATTGTAAATATGTCACGTTTCTATTTTATATATTAACAAACAATAAAGGATTTAATATATAATATTGAATTCCATGTAAAGTTGGAGAATGAACAATTCTGGATTAAAATTAAGAGGTTATTATCATCACTTGTAATATAATTTCCTAAGCAGAGTATAAACATATTTGATACAACAAATCAATTGAAATTTGAGTATAAATTTGTAACAAATATAGAATTTAAGTGTTAGTACTAACAAAAGTGTTCCTGATTTTAATCGATTCTCTCAGATATTTAGCTAGATTCATTAGTATAATTTTATTATTAGAAGAAATCAGCTCAATAAATTTACACATAGATGGTCTTTTGTAATAATATTGTTTCACATATTTTTTCCTTATGTCTACATAGCATGGGCATATCAAAACAAAATGGTATTCATCTTCCAAATCCATAGTATTACAAAATAAACAATATCTTTCACTCCTTGGGATTCTATTTTGCCCATATCTACCCGTTTGTACCCTTAGTGTATGTGCAGACATTCTAATTCTTGTGATGTAAAATCTAAGATTCTTAGGCAATATGTTAAGGTAGTTTTCGTATGAAAATAAGTCTTTACAATTTTTATACAGTTCTAAAACAGAATTATTTTCTAAAGATGAATGCCATGTTTGTATATAATTATCAATAATTCTTTGTTTAAATAATTTTGGAAATGATTTACTATCTACAATATTATTTTCAAAAAAGTATTCGGATAAACCATACATATTTAGCATTTCTTTGACATTTGACACCCAGTTCTTTTTACCTTTGTAACAATCAGATAAACTTAATTCATATATTTTCCGTAAAATTATGTTGTCAGTATTTATCAATTTGCACCAAAATTTAATTATTCTTACATATCTATTTATATACAATGGATAGCGACCGAGTTCGCCGTATATACTGACGTTGCTTGTATTGGCTCTAACATTTAAAATTCTTTTGCAAAATTTCAAGTGAATACGCTCAATATCTTTTGATTTGCTATAACCCCATACTTCTGATGCATATGATATGATTAAGCCTACAAAAGAATCAAATAATTGACATAATAATTTGGGTTTTAAATCCATGTCTTTACAATTTATCAATAATGTGTTCATTGCTTTTAAAGCTTTACCGGTTAAATGTTCATTGTTAAGAGAAAAATTGCCTGTATAGCTGAACACTGTACCTAGGTAGTTAAAGTGATCTACTACTTCTATTGGCTGAACGTTATACGTCCATTTTTCGTTGATAAAAATACGCCCTCTTTTTCTAAAAACAACAATTTTAGTTTTCATGGTATTGACCTCTAATCCCCATTTAAAACAATATGAATACAAATTGTAAATCTTCAGGAGTTTTACCTACAATGGCCATATCGTCAGCAAAAAGCAATAAAATCAAAACAATATCATCAATCAATAATCCTGAGTTTAAGTTATCTTGTAAGTATAATTCAAGGTCTTCTACGAATAGGGAGAACATTAATGGCGAAGTTACCTCCCCTTGACGTAGGCCAACAGCATACTGGAAAAAATCTGAATATGTGTTACAACATCTTACACATGATTTTACTTTGTCATACATATTTTAATGATTCGTAATATTTTTCCTTGTACACCACATTTATACAGTTTCATCCATAATGAATTTCTACAAATACTATCAAAACAAGATTTCAAATCAATAAACCCTACATATAAACGTTTATTATCATTTAAATAATGTTGTATTAAAGAATGTAGAATAAAAATTCCATCAACAGTTGATCTCCCCTTTCTAAAGCCAAATTGGCAATCAGAAATAACAGAATATTTATCACAAAATATTCAACTCTATTAGTAATATAGAAGTAAAAAGCTTGGACATACAGCTGACTAAAGTTATTCCCCTATAATTGTTAACTAATTTCGGATCGCCTTTTTTATATACGGGCACAATTATACCCTCCGTCCATTTGTCTGGATAAAACCCAGAGTCTAAAATGGCATTAAAAATATCACACAAATGATAACAAATAATATCAATAGACTCAATAAAATATTCGTTTAAAAGACAGTCTGAGCCTACAGCTTTATTTGACTTAAGTGTTTTTACAGCTTTTTTAATTTCTTCACATGTGATAGGTAAATTCAATTCTTCATAGGTACAATCATCACAATTAAAATCGTGCTCATTACAAAAGTCATTACATTCATTATTGTTGGAACTGAATTTATCATTAGATAAATTTTCAAAAAACAATTTAAACTCTTCAATAGTAATGTCTTTAGAAACATTAGCCTTTTTCTTTTTAAATTGTCCCCAAAACTGTTTGGGTTTACAAAATCTTAAACGTTCAATTTCAGAATATTTTTTAGACATAAAAGTTTTCTTTTTCTTTCGGATTAAATTTTTATATTCTTTCTTACATTGACACAAATATTCCCTACTTGCTGGGGTTTTACATATATAAAACGACTTTAAGGCATCTACATATATATTCTTTGAATTTCTGCATTCGGCGTCAAACCAATCAGCATCCTTTAAAGACTGACTATCTGAAAATTTAACATGCATTTTATTTGTATATGTTCTTGAAAAAAGAGGGTCTGCAACTTCCCTTATTAAACAGGTAAAACTATTTATAGTGCTGTTTACGGCCTGTCGATCACTGGTATTTATCTCTGTAGTCAGTTGATTTAGATTAGGTAATATGCCGATCAAACCTGCCCTAAAGGTATCCCTTAGGTTCGAATCCCATACAAAATAAAGAGAATTTAACAAAATCTAAATCTTTAAAATAATTTTGCAGAAATATGGTGTCCTTTTTTTTCAATTTGTATTTTTCCATTATGACGTCATGGTCCTGCGTACAAAGGAGTCTTTTAAATACGTAGATTGTCACGTGAAATTAAACACGAGCTATTTATGTTTAAATATCTTTTCACAGTTATAGAATGTTTAAAACTTAAAGATTGACAGCTTTAGTAATATAAGACAAATGATGTAATTTGTCATTGACTATAATTAAAATGCAAAATAAATGCAAGTTAAAATATCGCGATAAATTGTGTTAAATGAATTCTAAACATGTTTATTTCCGTGATATAGAAATGCTTAATCATTTATAGTTCTGACTCTGATATATCTACACTGTATAGACTTTGACATATAGTAATTTAAATGAGAACATAATGATTTATTTTTATATGTTTTGACTTATTCTGCGAATGTTAACTACCAAGCATTTGACCTCCGGAAAAAAACACGTACAACTTATCACTAATGATACATTATTAAAACGTACTTGGAAAGTTATGATGAAGTTTCAAAAAGGAATAAAAAGAATTTTGCAAAATTGTATTAAATTTTCATTTCTGTCACAATGTTGAGTATTTTGATAAAGTTATACATGTACTTATATATAGATAGATATAGGCAATGGTCGTTCATATATTACTAAATAATTATTTGAAAAGTTTTTAGAGATTCTTTTTTATTTTCATACCATTGTAAAAAGAAAGTTACATTTTCGAGGGCATAGAAGTAGGCATTTTTGTGGTTATTTTTATTCTTCATTTCATTTTCCTATAAAAATATTTGAAAAACAAATAAAGCAGAAAAAAATCAAATGCATGATAAAACAAGTCTTCGACGTTATCATCCATAAAAGTTTAGCTTGAATAAGCCATCAGTGCATGCATTAATAAATAGACGGTAATTATAAACTTTCAAAATGAACATTTCTAATGATATTTTACTCTAAAAAATCATTGTACCTATTCCAACGGTATACGTTTAACTTTTTGCTCATTTTGCTCATTTACGAAAATACGGCTCTTAGGTTTTTAACAAAAATGATCTAATTGTGCATAATTTATAAATAAGGTAACAGGAAATCAAAAACATACTTCTGTTATTTTTACAGAAAACAGACGACAACATGTAACAAAGACCACTGTGAAGACCACTGTGGAAAGTGCATTAAACAGCGGGATTAAAACTAGTGGCAACATTAAAGGGATAAATAGGGTTCAGTCTGCCCCAGTAACACCTGCAAATGTTCCTCGTCGCCAGCCAGCTATACCTCTTTCTTGGCGAAATGAGATCATGAGACGTTGGAGAAACAACATAACCGCCCGATGGAATCAATGGAGATTCACAACGACAACAAAATCGACAACAACAACAACGGCAACAACAACAACTCCCCGACCAACTACCACACAATCGACAACGACCACTGCTCCAACAACAACAACAAGAACAACAACAACTCCTCAGACAACTACAACTCTAAAAACAACAACCACAACAACAACAACTCCAAAACCACCACCTCCAACAACTACAACTACAACAACAACAACCACTAAACAAACAACAACTACAACAACATCTCAAGCAACTACAACAAAACCATCAACTACAACAAAGCCGTCAACAACAACGACTACTACAACCACCACAACTACACCAAAACCGCCTCAACAAACGAAAACCCCAAGTCAGCAACCGCATGCAAGGATTCAACAATCAATTATCAGACCTCATAGCTTCATGTCCAGCAAATCCTCGACACATAGTCACCATAATCATGATGACCACTCACATCATCATCATGTCGACACAAGCGCACCTGCGGTCCGACCTTTTCTCCCTAACTTGTCAAAAGAATTAAACTCACCAGTACTAAATAACCAAGCTTGGTGGTCGTTCTGGGGTAAACAAACACCAGCAAATGATATCACATCTAGCTGTGAACAAAATGTCAACTGTCATCTTCCTGGATGCTATTGCCAGGGTACTTCCATTCCAAATAACCTTAATGCTGCCGATACGCCTCAATTGGTACATCTAACCATAGACGGAAGCATGAATGCAGCTGCGTATAGACGTTACAGACAAATGGTAATCAAGAAGAAAAATCCAAACGGTTGTAATATAAAAGGGACATTCTTTGCTTCCGAAAGAGGAAGTATGCCTCAGATAGCTAAACAATTAACGACGCTTGGTGCTGAAATTGCAATGCAGGGCTTGCATGAACACCATTACGAGACTGTCGAGCATATGGAGGAAGAAATGTTGGCGCAAATGATCACTTTACGAAAAGATGGAATCAATTCAACAGGATGGAAAACACCAGAACTAAAGTCATTAGGGAACGAGCAATACCGACTTCTTCAAAAATACGGCTTTAAATATGATGCAACACTTTCTGAAAATTTACCAAAACCATCCGAACATAAACCTTGGCCTTATACGCTTGATTATGGGTACTCTGGAAATTGTGTGATTCCTGAATGTCCAACAAAGAGTTTTCCGGGATTATGGGAAATTCCTTCCGTTGCGTTGATGGACTATAAGAAAATGTTTGAATGCAGCTATGTAGACGGATGTATGTTTAATCCCCCAACTGGTAAAGACACAACCGATTTCCTCTGGGACAACTTTATGACAAACTATAAAACTAACAGAGCACCATTTGGCATTCATCTTCGTCAAGTTTGGTTTTCACATCCCGCTTATATAAATAATATAAAAGGAATACAGGATTTCATTTCAAAAATTCTTACATTAAAAGATGTTTTTATTGTGTCAGCAAGTGACATTATCACTTGGATGGAAAACCCTATCCCTGTTTCCGAAATGACAAATGGGCTGCCATGGAACTGCAAAACTTGAACACATCATTCTGTCAATGTAACCTAAGTTTGATTAACCATATTGTTAGTAATTTATTTTGTGATACATAACGGGTTTAACAATCCCAGGATCTCGTAATTTATTTTGCAAATGATGATAAGAATAAAGATCCTGTGAAGTTTCAATACATGTGTTTACCTGCAATGAACATCGGCTATTTCTGTAAGATTACGTTTTATCAGTATTTCATAAAATGTTATAATCTAGTTGACTAGCACAGCGTGTGGAAAATACCGAAAACCCACAAAATTAAAACAGAATTTAGAGAATTTCATGAAAATTGCCGATTTCCATTACGGGTATATATTCATATACAAATATTTTCCGCGTGATTTGGAAATGCTGATACGGATGTTGCGATACTGATTTATTTATTATCTGTCAAATGTTCAATGTTCTTGATTATAAAATAAAATAAATCGTTTACATATACAGTACACAAACTGACAGTGTGCTTTCATGTTGCCATTATATCACCGTCTTGTATAAAAATCATCATTCATTTACATCATTCTCAATTGCTTGATTGTTTAAATGTTTATAAATAGATATATTACGTCATTAAAATATCCTGTCATGATTTCTTTTGTGTGAAGATTCATCTATTTTACGATGACATTCATTTACAAGCATGAACTAACATCATTTAATTTAGTAATGACTGTGTGCTAGGTTAGATGGTGTAATATTCTCAACAGATTAGAAATGGTCTGTGGCAAATTACTGTTGAATTTGAAGTAAAACCAGATCTTAGAGCAAGCCTGACAAAGATTTACAGTATCAGCCCTGTCTTCTATATCTAAAGTGACATATCTAAAGATACATTATGCCCATCCAAATGTAAATGGTCTGTGAACAGGTAAAAATAATCAAATAACTTGACATTTTGCCGCAAATGTGTCCATTTCTATATTCTACTACAATAATAAATAATTATCCGCGTGAACAACGAAAAATTCTGTAAATATTGTTCTGAATGTATTAGCAACTTTCATTTCTTTCAAATTTTTCATTATCAATTATTGGTCAATCACAATTATGATTATCAAATTTTGAAATATATTACAAATTCAAGACACATGACAGCGAAAATATCTACGCATTCTGTCACTTTAATTCTATCATATCATTCGGCTAATTTGAAACATTTGAGGCTAGGTCTGCTATTTCAAATTGCTATGTCAGTTTCTTATTCTCTTGATAAATATGAAATTGTTAAAGCATAAACTTTAAGTGAAATAGTTATATAAGTAACAGATAGTCATAGTTTTATATAAGAGGAAAACCGCTGTAACAAGGGGGGATGTTATGTATGGTGTTTTGTTAATCATTAAACAGAGATTAAGGCTATAAACGTGTAACCAATTTCTGCATTTTGTTTGTTTGTTTTTTGTTCTCGTATTTTTGTGTTAATGTTTTGTTTTTTCCCCCGTTTTGTTGTTTTCTGGCCAACCCCCTTTTATCAAATGACGCCGGCAAAAAGTTACTAAATAAAACGCACATTAATGTTTATGAATTTCAATTCCGCTTAAATCTTTTAAAGAATATAAAACGGAAACATTGCATTTTGTTATAGGGAGATTCTCTGGGGGTTATAAAAACAAAATTATAATTGAAAATTATAGGAATGAACTATAAATAAGCAAAACATCTCCCCTTTCTGTATGTTTTAAGCGCTATTTAACATGTAATATAAAAAGTAGCAGAAAAAAACTAAATTTGAAAGGCAATGAAATAAGGTACGAGCGTAAGTTATGAAAATCACTTCTTGTTTGATCTCACTCTGGTCGAGTAAAATTGAATACTGCTGAATCCGGTGCTATTGAGCGTGACAGACTCAATTCAAACACACATGCATAATATTATATATTGACATAAACTATTTAATTCAACATGTATATTGACTATATTGTTTTTCTGTTGGACGTGGACCATAGCTTGTACATACTATTACCGTCTTGAACAGACTCAATCAAACCGAGCCTGCAACATTTCAAGGTCTTATTTTCCGTATTTTATTTTGTTGGATAAGCGAAAGGAAGTCACGTTGAAGGCCAACATTTGGATAAAGTGGGCAATCGGGATAAGAAATTTAGACCTATTAAGTTACTATACCTAAATCAATTCAATCACTTTTTGTTTATATTTTTTCGAAAATTTCGGTTGCTTTACGAAATACGTCTATGTTGCTGAACCAGTTGAAGGTTACATTTATAAATATCTGATTTTTTTTCCAAAATAATATAGAATACGTCTTGAAATAAGTTCGTACTGTACATAATACATTATTATCTTGTATAATATGTACAAAGAAGAAAGCATATTGATGTTACTTGATACAAGTATTTTACTGTTATATATAATGGGAATGTATCTTACACACATATCAATAAATCATAATATACATGTTCCTCAGGTTAATTGCCCCTCATGAATATAAATCCAGTTTGTCATTACAAAATAATACTTTCAAATACTGACTTCATGAGCTGATTAAGTAAGCTATATATTTAAAACAATATAAACTTTTATTTCTTATATAATATTTAAGTCTATAAATAAAGTCGTTAATTTGCATTCATAGGTTTTCTTGGTACCACGACATCATATTAATATCTATCAATCAACTTTAAATCTCTCCACATGTCATCAATATCATGCAATGTCATTCATAGACCACATCAAATGACTTTATTAATATGTAACCATTTCAAATGTGTCTTTTAAATAGCACGTTCTCGTAAAATTTGTATAGTGATTATTTTACCTCCGCACAACAAAGATACTACAATAAGATCGTTCGGCTGTCTTCAAAGATGAATGCAGAGCTTAAAATTCAAAATCTTTGTGGTTATTGCCCTTTGTAATTTTTCCTACCTATTTTTGTCCAAAGCATAACTATTGTAGGTATTAACTTACAACTTCAAAGATAAATTAAGCAAAGGTAGACTGCTAAACAAACCATAACTGTTGTTTGCATAGCTTTGGAACTCTTTGTAACTTTTTATACTGGGTTTTGTCCGGGGCATAACTCTTATATATTATAGGTATACTATTTTGAATATTCATAGTTTGTGTATAATAAAAGTGCACTGTTTAAAAACTATAACTATTTAGTATAATTGTGAAGTAATTGGCCTTTGAATTTTTCATAGTTCTGTTTTGTCCGAAAAAATTCCTGTGCAAAATTTTCGAATAATTTTCGAATTTTGCCAATCATGCTTAATTTGTATCCGGAGCCTTATACTAGCATTGGAAAATTGCAGTTCTCTAGAATCATTACCTTTTGTCGCATTAAAGCCCTTTGAAATTTTGAATATGTAGTGTCCAAAAATCATAACGTTCTTTTGAATAATTGTGTAGTTATTTCTCTTTGTGTCATGTTTGTACCTGGAATGAGAGATATAAATGTTGTTTTTTTTTTACTTTGACTTGAATGAACCTTTTATCATTTTTCATACTTACTTTTTGTCCATGGAATAGATGTATTTGATGAAATCTGCAGTTTTCAGAAATAAGTTTCGCCCTTTTGAATGATTATGGAATTATGTCCTTGTGTTATGTTTCATGCTAATTTATTTTATAGAGCATATATTACATGTATCAATATGGACCCTCATAATGCCCTATTGACAAAGCCAAGTACGCGGGTATCTTTGCAAGGTAGTAAGTGTAATTGCAACAAGAATCGATACCATTTTATCTTAAATAATGAGGAAAAAGATCAACAAGGCAAGACGATATTCACCGAACTCAACCCCGACAAAACTTAGCCACACCAGCAGGCCAGAATGTACTTCATCAAAAACGGGAAGGGACACAAGTCGCTAAATCTGAAAAAAAATATGTTAAAAAATAATAGAACTTTCGACCTCAGAAGAAGTATAACAATTGAAATGAGGTGTGTATGAAAGATTATAAAATAAGGTAGTAAAGACTGGCAAAGAAATACTCGGTGATGTAAATGTGTGATATCTGTTTTGTAATCATTATTGCTGTGGACGAGGAGCTATGCTCAAGTCCAAAAAAGAAATTAATATTTTGTTCTGTTCTGTAAAGAATAATTATACAAATATCTACGGTAAGAAATTTGCATAAAAAGCAAAATTTAAGCAAGAACAATATCATTTGGTACTTAAAAGTGACGTCCCTAGAGAGTAATGAGTAAGAAAAAGCGAACAGTTCAAAATTACAAACTTATTTTAACTCTTTCATTACATAGGAGACAGTGGAAAACACAACATGTACGCCAACTAACATTGCTTTAAGAACTTTTCCATCCTCAACATTTACAGTATTACATACAATTAACAGAATGAATTAAAGTTCTGGGCAACACTCATTAGTGTATTCATTATTTGTACGTCTATTTACTTTTCAACAAAAATTAAGCCAGGTTTATGTGCTATTCGGTTTAATAAAAAGGAAAAATAACTTAGAAGAATAAAACTCATATTTGATATTATGTTATTTCCCTTACCCTGTATTGTCTTTGAAAGTTCCATGAGAAATTAATTTGCAATTGACATTATAGCATTATACGTATAACTTTATTACGATTTCCAATTTTTTATTATCGATTAAGCTACTCTTGACTGATCTCCCTTTTCATATATTATATTACTTTGAACTTCATAAAACCAGAAGGGAAGTGACTCTTAAACACTTAATGTCCTTTAAGATTTAATAGTTTCCCTTTATCTATCATATACTCAGAAAAAGAAATAATATTTCAAAATGATCAGAAAGAAGTCGTTTGTCTTTTTCAAAGCTTTAGAACATCTTAAACAAATATATCACAAATTCGTAATCTTTCTTACGAAATAAGGTTACCATAAAAACATAAAAAACAAATAGTAATGCTTTCAACTACTGCACAATATTTTTATTGTAATATTTGTCTTCGACATCATGCATTATTTGAAAAAAAAATGATTTCAAAAATGTTTTGTTTATTATAACAACTTAAACTTATATGTACATCTTGAAAAAATATATGTTTTAATTCATTTTTCTTTAAAAGGGCACTAATTTTCTAATATTTCTGCATAATATCTTTAATATAGTCAAGAAATTAGGTAGGACTTCAAATTACAAATTACAATACGCTACTTTTATTGTTTGATTTCTAAATGTTATTATTTTCCAAATACTCTGTTTTGTAGTCGTCTATAAGGGTCGTGACACATTTAATCTCAGTAGTATTTTTTGTTGTAGCTCCAAGGCCATGCCAACTGTTTCGTTTTTGACTCCAACTACATGTATAGATGATGATTTTGCTTGTTTAGATTGATAGTTAGGCGCAGCCTTTTTTCACAATACCTTTTTAGTACTTTAATTACTTAAAAGTTTAGTGACTGTGACTTGGTTTGTTTCATAAATAATTGATACATTTGCTTGTGCTTAGTTCCGCCCTTTTTTTGGTTTATCATTTAGGACACACGCAATTTTTACTTTGAGACTATAGGAATGGCACAGGACGTGCTACATTGAAGTTTTCATGACACTAGCCGTATGTACATATCAGTGGGTGTTTCCAAATTCAATATTGTACCATTTCATTTTAGTTTTTCCGCTAAAGCCG